AGAACTTAACTATTTAGGTATAATAATCTCACCATATTATGGAAACTTGGAAGAGAGTGTGAAACATCAGATAAGTAAAGCAGCCAGGATAGCGGGTTCGCTAAGAAACATCGTTTGGAAAAATAAATGCATGACAACTCTCAATAAATAAGGATATACAAGGCATGTTATACCTGTGATGACATACACGTCGGAAACTCGATCTGACAAGGCTGAAACCAAAAGGATGGCACGTACACACGAGATGAGAGTGTTGTGAGCAATAATAGGGAACACATTAAGAATCCAAAGAAGGAGTAATGAGATCAGGCATGAAGAATGCCAAATGAAAGATGTGGAGCGAGGAGAATATTTTAGAATGAACATGTATCACGGATGGTGAATGATAGATTGGTAAAAATCGGTAGAAATGCAACGCCATCGTTCAAAGTTGACCTCCAGGAAGGCTGCCCAAACGATGGAAGGATAGTTAGACTTCAATATCACAGGAACGAGAACGAGAGAAAGAGGAGTAAAATGGGTGAAACAAGCTATTAGCTTTCGCAAAGAAGAAGAAATTGAGTAGTTTCGATGAATTATTTCTATCGTTCACTACGTGACAGCATCACAGGCATTGCTAACAACAAATCCTGATGCCTTTGAAACAGAAATTTGTTCTTTCACATCCGTAGTATTGCGGTTTTCACTGATTTGCAAAGATACCATTTTTCCATGAACAACTACTTCTCATTCTCACAATTTCTCTTATCATTTTGAACGACATTTTTCGAATGTTGGAGTACTAACTCAACAATAACGAGATTAATCACCAGTTTCCGTGATTGTGGATCAGTTGCTAATGAGAAGAAAACCGGAACACCAGCCATTCTGACAGACGAGAAACTGAATCAAATTCCAAATGTGTTGCTACGTTCGCCTTCAAAAAGCTTGAGGAGACTCTGAGCACACACTTATATGTCATATGGTAGTGCTCAGAAAGCGATGAAAAAATTAAAATTTTGTGTATATCATTTTCGCAATGTACGGGAATTGGAAGACCCATAGCATCTGAGGAGTCTGACTTCGATATCGATACCGAGGTTGTGCTTTTTGAACAGTTTAACCATTTCGTCGAAAGCGGCCCTTCTATTCGGCTTTCTCTATTCTGCATCTTATCTCCTGAGAATCGTCCCACAATCCTCATAATCACGTTCCCCAGGTATTGATCTGCGATGCCCTCTCTATGGTGTGTTGCAGCCCTACCTGACGCGTCAGAGAATTTTGATTCCGCTGTTGTGCTATTCTGAATTGGACTTAAAGGTAGCTGACTGGTTCCAGTAGAGGTTTCGTATGATACTAAGATCTCCGTGTTGTCCAAAACCTCCATCATCTTTTCGTGCCGTACCTTATCGAATGCCTTCTTGTAATCAACAAAGCAGGCGAAAACGTCAAAGTTCATATCTCTGCAGCGCTGGAATAGCACTTGTAGGCAGAACAGAGCATCACTTGTACCTACTCCTTGCATAAACCCAAACTGTGTGTGTTATATTGTTTCTTCGCATCGTATGTATATTCTCCAATGGATGACTTTAAAAGATAGCTTTAAAGTATGACTCATGCTAAATAAAGATATATGCATACAAATATTTCTTTATAAAATTAAATACAAAACTTGCTTGGTAATGAAATAGGTTATTGAGGCTTTATTGTTTCTGCAAATATTAAATCTGCTAAATAAATATCTTGTTTGTACTTTTTGTTTAAGCACTTTTCGTTGTAAATACAAGTAGGTATTACAAGTGTTCTGGTTCAGTTAATCTTGCAGTTATTTTTTTATTTCTCCACTTAACATGTTCTTCTTCTTTAGCTTTATCACTTTTTATTGCATCACGTCTCTATTTACTATAGTTTCTTATTCTTTTTTAATTTAATTTTTTTTACCACTTGTTACGGTATCTATGTGCAAACTCCGTACATTATCCGTGAAAACTATAAGCGATAGATAAAAATTATGTGATTGGAAATTGTTGATATTAAACCATGTAAAAATACTTCATAACAAAGTTCCATCCTAGTCATCACCATTTTCTAGGGATAAAGCGAAAATTTCCAAAGTGTCGAAATTGAATGTTTAGATTAAAGAATCTATCATTACTTAAAAATTATAAGCGCTAGATAAAAATTTTGTGATCAAAAATTGTTGATATTGCACCAAACAAGAATATTTTATAAGAGTAGTTATCACCATTTTCTAGGAATAAAGTGAAAATTTCCAAAATATAAGAAATGATTGTTTACATTAAAGAATCTCTCATTACTCAAGAACTATAAGCGATAGATAAAGATTTTGTGATTATAAATTGTTGATATTGCACCAAATAAGAATATTTCATAATAAAGTTCCATCCTAGTTATCACCATTTTCAAGGTATCATGTAAAAAATCAACAGAATGTTATTTACATTAAAACATCTATCATGACATGACTCAAAAACTCATTTCACAACACATTTCTCAGTGTAATGTAGGTACAGATATTTGTAGTATTTTATGGTTAGTGAAAAAATTTATTTTTAGTCATTTTATCCGTTATAAATTTCTAGAATATTGAACAGGTGTTTTTGAGTTCTTAGTATAACTTCTCACACCAGGTAAATATGTTATAATCTCCCTTTTACTTTGCACAGCTGACTTTTTAAGAACTCTGAATCCGCTGAGTAATTTAATCCCTTCTAAGAAAGATCATAATCATGTAGATATTGTTTTCATTGTTTTCATTAATTGCTTAATCCAATGTAAAGTTCGCAGAACGTTTCTGTATACAGGCTGTAACAAAAAGGTGGTAAAAGAAAATAGAATAAGGAATAAAAAAAAATGTATACGATCATCAATGAAAAAGAATTAACAACAATTAGTGTTAAATTTAACGTCTCGTGCTTTGTAACAAGTGATTATTAGCAAATATGAATAATTAATTATTTCAGAAACGAGTTTAATTAGCATTTATAAGCAAACATTGTTTCTATATCTATGGATTATAAGCCCTTCAATTTATTGCACGTATTTATATTACACCCTGCATAATCTAAACAATCATTTTATCGAATATATTGCCGTTACTGTTTTCTTCTTCGTCTATTTATTCCAACAATTTTAAAAGTCGTTCTTTTTCGTAATAATTAGTTTCAATAGATACGTTGACATATTAATAATATACCTACAAATTAAGTAACGTTATAGATTGATTGGTTGCAGTGTAATTAAGCGAGGTATGAACATAAATTGTGTACTTAAACTGCGTTAATAAACTGTAATTTGATTTGAAATAACAAATTAACGTGGAAAATAAGTGTTATATCAAATTTTATTTTTTCTTACCTGTGAGTACTGAAGATCAAATATCAGGTTGTGACTAATAATGTGCAGAACTTGTTAAGATTTCCGGAAACGCTCGTAAATAACGCTAATGTAGCTACCATGCAAGGTAAACAAGAAGGAAAGAGAATTTCAATCTTTTTAAATCCAATAGACGATGATTGAGTTTAAATAACAAAAAAATTTTAGAGTTATTGCGTCAAAAAAAACGTTTCAAGTTTAACAGCATCCTATAAAAAGAGTGACAACCATTTGCATCCATCGTAACTAGTAGCTAAAAGCTGTAAAATAAACAGAATACGAAGAGCAAGAAAAACTTATACAGAATAGTGATTAGTGGTTTAGAAAACTTCACTTAAGGAAAACTGTTACATAAATCAAAATCAGTAGAAGCCAATAAAGTCCACAACGAGAAATTCATGCAGAAGAAAGTTTCGAAGAAGAAATCGTTTTGCTGTAGTTTGTCAAAATAAACTGAAAAAAGAAAATAAAGTAAAAACGAAGCAAGAACGGGAAGTAAAGAAACTTCATGAATTTGAATCCAATAAAAACGAATAACAAGAAACAGATATCAAAGAAGAAGAAGCAGCAAATACTAAAAGTGCATGCGTTGAAGATCTAGAAAAAATTAAGAAAATGCCTGCAAGAACATTTATCGCTGAAGAAGGAAAGTCTATGCCAAGGTACAAAGCAGCAAAAGGCAGAATAACACTTTTATTGAGCATCAACGCCTTAGGCACTATAAAACTGAAACCTTCAATAAAATGATAAACCTATAAAAACTATGATTAGTCTAGCCTTCCTGTTCACTGGAGATCAAACAAGAAGGAATAGGTGAAATTACTGCGTATTGTAAGAATAAGATTCTGCTTAAGATTTCACTATTGACAGATAACGCCCCTGGTCAACTTCAAACATTAAATGGATCTCTAACATTCAACCCTGAAAGAACAACACAAAAAGCTTAGTAAATATTGTCCAGGGATAGTTAGTAATTATAAGGACAATGAAAATGTCTGTGACCTTACAACCATAATAATGGGCAACATTGTAGAAATAACAAAAGAGCTAAATCTGGAAGTAGAATCAGAAGATGTAAATGAACTCCTTGCTCTGCATGATAGATCTCTGACCAATGAAGATCTGTTAAATCATCTGAAGGTTTGACAACGAAAATATTTCTACAAACGTTTGTACACCTTAACAAAGACGGACGTGAAAGCCTTCGTGCTTATAAGATTTATTTTTATTGTGTTTTATGTTTCTAAAATAAAAGTTTGTGTGTTTACACCGTTTAGTTCTTGTTTTAAAGTTAGTACTCACATATACGAATACTTGCACTAATAATTCAAAATATTTTTCCTTTTATGCACATTAAGAACATGCGTTGGTCTCCATTATATGTTGAAGCAATACTTAAAATGCCATATTCTTTCATAAGTAACTATAAGTAAGAGAGAATTATTAACAAAAAAATAATAGTCTTTAAACAGACGCTTGTGTATGGCAGAAAATGTTAGCCTTTGTTCGTTATAATTATTTCTTACCCCGACTAAATTCAAATCTCTATTCCTGTATACCTGTACAAAAAAATTAGAATTATAATTGATTATAATATTTATAAAATTTGTTTAATTTATTTTTAGGTGTAAAACCATACTCTTGTAACCTCTGTTCTAAGAGTTTTACAAAAAAGCACCATCTCAAAACGCACATGAACTTCCACACTGGACTCAAACCCTATTCTTGCCAAAATTGTGGACTTTCCTTTTCACAAAGCAGCAACATGAGGACCCATTACAAGAAGTGTATTTTGAAATCTCCAGAAAATGAAAATTCGCAATAAAAAGTATTGCATTTTTAAGATTATGTTAATGTAGTACTTGACTTAAATAATTGTGATATTTTACTTTCTTTAATTGAATTTGTTAATCATATTATCATTATGAGAGTATTATTTATTTGTCGTTTTTATGTGCATTATTTATATGAATTTAATAAGAATAAACTATTTATTTTTTCAGGATTTAAGTTGTTTAATTAAAATAAAGCATCCATAAATAATTATAAAGTTTTTATTAATTTAAAAGTACACAAGAAAAGTTGATTTCGAAACTAGACGATTCCAAAACCTGAAAAGAATACATACTTCAATTAATATTCAATTTACACATAAATCTTTATTAATTTTTTTGTGTGGAATAATCAGAGGTAGTGACGATAAGAACATTGTAATATCACAAAATAATCAAAATACAGTTTATGCATCATTTTACGTAACAATTCAAGTAAATACATGAAAAAAACGATCATTTCTTACCTGTTTATAAATGTTTACTCAACCTAACCTATAAATTAAACACGTGCTTAATCTTCACACTTAAAAATTAGTTTGTAAAAAAGTATTCTGCTAAACAAATTAATCGTAAATCAGTTAACAAAAACAAACTAATATGATTAATTCCAACTGATTACATTAAAAGATGTTTTAAGATAAATTTTAACAAAATTTAACCACAACTTACACAACGACGTTTGAAACAGAAATGACGTTTAATTTTGAAGTAATCATGTGACGTTCCTACCACATGAACTAACCTCAATTTCAGTACCAACCTTTAAAATTGAAATACACCAAATAACAACAATCAGCTTATTAATTATTTTAATTTTCAAATGGACAAAGTATTATCATTAAATATCCGATTAGTACGTTTATAAAATTGAAATCATCATTAAATCCTACAATTTTAATCATTTTTAGGTCAACAAACTCCTAAAAGATAACGCCTTAACCTCAACGCATCTAACCTCAAAATGCTTAGAAAGAATTAATAATACAAAAAAGTATAATGCTTTTATTACTGTAACTTCAGATTTAGCAAAAAAACATGCGGACGAATCGACGGAGCGATATAAAGAGAATAAATCTCTATCTGAAATTGATGGAATCACAATTGCGATTAAAGATAATTTTTGTACTGAAGCCATTAGGACTTCTTGTGCATCAAAAATGCTCGAGAAATTTATACCTACCTATAACGCAACGATTTACGAACGATTAAAAAATGCTGGTGCGGTTTTAGTTGGGAAAACAAACTTGGATCAATTTGCGATGGGTTCTGGAACTGTCGATTCAATTTATGGTCCTACAAAAAATATTTGGGGCGATGAAAAAGATTGCTATATAACTGGAGGGAGTAGTGGGGGTAGCGCAATAGCTGTAGCAACAGGAAGTTGTTTTGCGTAATTATTATTTTAGTAAAATAATATTTGTTTAATTAATTTTATATATTTAAGTGGAATAGGTTCAGATACAGGGGGTTCAACGCGAAATCCAGCTTCTTATTGTGGTTTAGTTGGTTTAAAACCCACATATGGTTTAGTTTCAAGACTTGGATTAATCCCTTTGGTTAATTCGATGGATGTGCCAGGTATTTTAACAAGAAATGTTGATGATTGCGTGTCAATTCTTAATGAAGTAGCTGGACATGATCCAAAAGATTCAACATCTTTGAGAAATCCTTATAAAAAAATTAGGTATTATCTTGAGGTTAGATTAATTTATTTTACTAAAATCCCAAATTTATTTAATAAATTAAACCCAGATTACCACCGGGTGATAAAATGACAATAAAAAACCTTAAAATTGGTATACCTAGAGAATATCATTGTGAAGGACTCTCTGATGAAGTTTTAGAAACGTGGAATGAAATTGCTTGTTGTTTAGAAAATGCTGGGGCAATAATAAAAGATGTTTCTTTACCAAATACAGAGTACAGCATAGTTTGTTACTCAATTTTAAATCAATGCGAAGTTGCGAGTAATATGGCTCGTTATGATGGAGTTGAATTCGGTTTTAGAGCTGATGAGAACACATCGACTGAAAAATTATATGCTAAAACGAGGAGTTTGGGTTTCAATGAAGTCGTTCGTAATCGGATTTTAACAGGAAATTATTTTTTGTTGACTAGAAATTATGAAAAATATTTTAATCAAGCTTTAAAAGTGAGGAGGTTGATTTCTGAAGATTTTGATCATGTTTGGGAGAGTGTTCAGATCTTATTGACACCAACAACTTTGAGTACAGCTCCAAAATACAACGATTTTATAGGAAAAACTAACAGAGATCAATGTGCAGTACAAGATTATTGTACTCAACCTGCCAATATGGCCGGTAATATAATAGAATAGTTTATTTCAGAAAGGGACTAAGTAACATTTTTTGTTTCTGAAAAAAACGAAAAAAGAAAACACATTTTCAAATTTAAAGAGTGTTCACCACATTTTTTATTACAACTTGCATGTACAGGGTGGTTCAAATTCGATGCCCAAAAAGGCTATCTCCGAAACTATAAGAGTTAGAAAAAAAAACTTACATGTCATGATCTCGTTTTTCGAGAAATTGTTAATCCCAAATATCGTAAAACGTAAAGACGTATCAAATAACGTAAAGCAAGTGCAATTATCAAAAAAGAATTTTCGGTTTTATAAATTTGGATATTATGACAATTTTCGTTTTTTTAAATGGAAACAACCACTGATTATTCGCTTATTAAATTCGTTATTTTTTTCTGATTACAAAAATATGGAGTTATATAGGTCTATTTCTTATTCTTTTAGAATAAAGCTAAAAATAAAGTTTCTTTTGTGTCGTCAAAGAAATTAAATTTACAGTTTCCTGTAAATAACGGTACTAGAACTAAAAATTATTCTACTAAAAATGTATATAAAATTTACTTTATTTTCTAATATGTAACATTCTAACATGTTGAACTTTTCATAATTTTCGTAATCCATCTTAAAAAACAGGATTTTTAATTTGACACTTCAGAACATTTTTGAATACAAACAAATGTTGCTAAAAAATGTGTGAGCACCATCTATCAATAATTTATTAAGGCATTTAATAATAATATTGAATATTAATAAAAAATGTGAAATAATGCAATCTATTTCAACTTTTGTGTAAAACAAATATAAATTAAATAGTCCAACAAATGTATTTGTTTCAAATATCAGAAATATGTTTTAATTTTTAGTTGTAATTTACAGGAAACTGTAAATTTAATTTCTTTGACGACATTAAAAAAAAGTTTATTTCTAGCTTTATTCTAAAACAGTAAGAAATAGACCGGTCAAACCCTATATTTTTGTATTCAGAAAAAAATAACGAATTTAATAAGCGAATAATCAGTGGTTGTTTCTATTAAAAAAAACGAAAATTGTCATAATATCGCAAAATCTACAACCGAAAATTTTTTTTTGACTACGTCATCAAATTCTCTGTAAAAAAGTGTCCACATAATGTCTTAGTTATAATAATCCACCTATAATAATAACAAAGATAATTGCACTTGCTGGTTTTACGATATTTTCAATTTTGGCCTCTAGGGGAAAAACAAAAGACGATAGCGCTTTGAGGTTTTCGAAAAAAGAGACATGTGAGCTACTTTTTTTCTAACTCTTATAGTTTCCGAGATAGCCTATTTGGACATCAAATTTGAACCACCCTGTACAGGATGTCCAAATTTCGATGGGTTTGCAGAGTATTTCAGTTATTATGAAAGATAGAAAGTTCGCCAACCTGAGCTACTTTTTTGTGAAACTTACAATGGCACAAACCAAATTTTCATAGCCCTCTTCGTTTTTGATATACAGGGAGTGTTTGAAATTTACGATATTCAGACATCTCCTGTATCTCGGCTATCCGGAAACTTAGTAAGAAAGTAAAAACGGGTTCTAATAGATTTTTTCACGTGGAATCCAATGGTGCACGTAGAATTTTTCTAGTCGTCACGGTTTTTGAGTTATAAACACAACTCAAATACTGAATACTCAACTTCTAAAATACTCAGCTCTTTATAACTTAAAACCCGTGATGACTAGAAAAATTCTACGTGCACCATTGGATTCTACGTGAAAAAATGTAAAACATAAAAAAATAATAAACATAAAAATAGTCGTATTACAAGACTCGTATTACAGACCATTACAATCATCTACATTTTGGCCATTCTCAAGTAGATATATGCTGCAAGTGAGAAGAACTTAATATGAAAATAAAAAGTTCAACTTTAGGAGAACATGCCAAGCGTGCAACAGTTGCTGAATTGATAATACATAAACAACGAGCAAAAAAAATTCTACACATCGTTGAAGAATTCTACTGCTGAGTGTAAAACTCTATTTGACTCAGTTATCAGTTAATGTATTCAGAATACATATCTGTAAGAATGGATAAGAGTATTTTTATATACAGTATGTCCACGGAAAAGGTGTTGAATAGGAAAAAAACCTTTTTATTTTTAATTTTATCGAAAAAAGTTAATCTTGATAAAAATTTGGCTAGTTTTTACAAATAAGATTAGGATAGAAACATTTAACATATTTTATACGCGGTATTCAGAAAATTGAAAATACGTTAAATGGTACAAGAGTAAAGTGCATTTATTTGAGAAGATAAGAAAATAAGTTATTAGGAAAAGTTGTTCAAAAGTAAAAGGTAGTCTCTACGAGTAATACCAATTTTCGAAAAAATCGGCCTACTTTTATTTATTTGGGTAAACAATTTGTTTCAATCGGCCCCATAGGAAAAAATACTCCTTATTTGAGTAATGTGTTTCTTTTATTGGAAACGATTCAAAATGTTATCTATCTCCGGTATAGTACTTACTTTGATATTAGTTCCCCTCTTATAACGAGGAGTTAAATTTTGTTGAAGTAGCGATTTTAAACGTTTAAGTCTTTTTAGTCCAATTCCATGTAAACTAGCAAAGGCGATTTGGCACACTTTACGTTTTTGCCCTTCAAAATGAATGTAGTGGAAAAATGAAGAACTTTTTTGTCTCTGCATTATTGTGTTTTTAGGTTTAGATCTCCTTTGAACTTCAAGCATTTCTCTGATTTTTGTATCACTTAGTGAACATTCACTTTCTATTTCTTCCATTATTATAACGTAAAGCAGTTATTGTTACTTAATATAGCTAACAACGTTTTGACTACGTTTTGACTGTAGGTTAAGTCGATAAGTGCTTGAACACATATACGCAATTGCGATATGAAATTGGCTAATAATAATATCGCTAGGCAGATTGCAATCACAATCGCTTTTATGTGTTCAACCTTTTAATCGCGTAATTGTTAGCCGTCAAACTGACAGTTTCTTGCATAAAGAGACGAAATATTCTCTCCCCACAATAAATGTTAGAGACTTATGAATTATACTTTCTACGCCCAACGATAGGTCTACAATAAGATAGTACGAACATACACTTATCTCAAAATTGTCAAAAATGTTACTTAGCCCCATTCTGAAATAAACGATGCAATTATTAAATAATTTACGAAAAATTCAAGAATCATCATGTGGCTTAAAAATCGACGAATTTTTTTAATAAGTGTGAAATGACTCAAAAAAACACATTAAAAATAAAAAGAAAGTGCGGAAAAGTGTAGAACATACCAAAAAATCACATTAAAGATTCGATGTGACGTCATAAGCAATGTTAAGCATGCATTTTCCTATTAATCCGATTCACATCTACCCTACAAATTGTTTATTTTATAGCCACGCACAAAATCAATCTGATAAACTTCAAAGTAAAGTTATTTTTACTAAACTAGGTGAGATTACAACGTATTTTCGGATGAAGCACCCTTGTTTTTCTTAGGCTTTCGATGCATAACGATGTCACAACGTTTTAGTACAATAAAAATATGCAACATAGTGATATTCTATGCTAACTAGCGCTACCTGCCACTGTTACTAGAACTAACATTAGAACTAGAAACATTCAGGTTTAGCCGTCTTAAGAGACGCACGACTAAACCCGAATGTTTCTAATTATAAGTGTAGTATTAGTTTTAGTGCAATAAAAATATGCAACATACTGATATGTTATGCTAACTAGCGCTACCTACCACTGTCACTAGAACTAACATTAGACATGGAATGATTCTAGTTCTAGGTCTTGTGTTAGTTCTAGTGATAGTGCTATTGCAGAACTAGGACTAACACAAGACCTAGAACTAGAATCATTCGGGTTTAGCCGTCTTGAGAGACGTGCGGCTAAATCCGAATATTCCATGTCTAATGTGTTAGTTCTTGCAATAGTTTTAGTGCAATAATAATATGCAACATAGGGCTTATCAGATGCTAACTAGCGCTATCTACCACTGTCATTAGATGTAACATTAGACCTAGAACTAGAAACATTCAAATTTAGCCGTCTTAACACTTTGCTGACCGGTAATTTTACACAGAAACAATGTCAGGTCACCAGCTATTTTTTTCTAATTGAATATGAATGTAAAGCGTTTTAAGTAAACTCCAATAAATTTTATTTATACTGAATGAAATTAAATTAAACTTTGGACATATTTTTTATACAGTGTCCGCCAAAAAGTTAGCATCACCCGTTTTTTGCTGTTCCATTGAATCTACATTTCTGAAACGTAGTTTATATGGGAGGTTCATACCGATCTTTCGATCTAAAGTAGTTTCATGGTGACCACTTCGTTATTTTAAATGGAATGCTATAGTTTTTATTGCACCTTTTAATTATATGCGAAAAAATATTCGCATATAATATAATATATAATATATTGTTCGTTTTCGAGCTATTTTGATTTTAATTTTTTTTTTGGCATATTTCACTATGCTACTTAAAACCCCATATCTCAGCCAATATTCATTCAAGAAAGCTCATCATCCTCTATTATGGTGCCTGGTAGTTGATGACTTGATGAACACCCTAACTAAAAACGGATTTAAGATACAAGGGTATTCTGATGACCTGGTAATCACAATCCGAGGTAAATATGATTCAATCATAACTCAGCTAATGCAGAAAGCCCTACTACTCACCAGTACTTGGTGCAGAAGCAATGGGCTCAGCATCAATCCCAATAAAATCGAAATAGTCCCTTTCACTCGGAGAAGGAAGCTACAAATAAAAGCACCCTCCATTGAAAGCAGAACTATTAACCTCAAAACAGAAACTAAATACCTAGGGGTAATACTTGACAGTAAACTAAACTGGAACTCACACTTAGATAAGGTGAGGAAAAAGGCCATCATGGCAAACCAGATCTGCCGCAGGCTCCTAGGAAGGAACTGGGGTCTCAAACCACGAATGGCTCATTGGGCCTACGTAGCAATAATCAGACCCATGGTCGCCTACGCCTCATTGGTTTGGTGGCCAAAAACAAAACATAAGACAGCTCAACAACAGCTGGCACAAATCCAGCGGTTAGCATGTCTTAACATAACGGGTGCAATGAGATCCTGTCCGACGGCTGCTTTGGAAGCCCTACTCGGTCTCACACCGCTCCACATATATATACAAAAGGAGGCAGCCTTAAGTGCCTTATCACTGAAAACAGTTTCTTCACTCAAGTTGATGCAGGGTAATCTCAGAGGACACCTCGAGATCCTCAAAGACCCATGTCTAAATCACCTGATTGAAATTAAAACGGACCTTATACCGACGGAATACAATTTCAACCAACCGTATAAGGTCATATTTAGTAGCAGGGATGATTGGGCGAAAGGAGGGCCTCAACTAAAAAGAGGAGCCCTAGCCTGGTACACCGATGCTTCAAAGACAGTAAGATCTGGAGTAGGCATGGGCATCAGTGGACCAAATAGCCACATCAAATTGCCCCTCAGCTCGGACTTAACAATTTTCCAAGCAGAAGTTCTTGCTATAAACTTCTGCACCGCTTTGAACCTACAGAAGGGACAAAAAGGTGCATCCATAAACATTTTCACAGACAGTCGGGCCGCCTTAAAGGCAATTCAGGCCTACACGTGTGGCTCCGCACTGATCAGAGAGTGCACCAACAACCTGAGAGAACTCGCTAGGGGCAATGATGTTACCCTATGGTGGGTTCCAGGTCACAGCAACATTGAGGGCAATGAGAAGGCCGACAAGCTGGCCAAAGAGGCAGCAAACACGCCCTTCATTGGACCCCAACCTGGATGTGGACTACAAAAAAGCCACCTAAAACAAATAATCAACAACTGGGAGGCTTCAAAGATAGCCTTACGCTGGAAAGAACTTCCAGGTCACAGACAAGCGAAGAGTATGATAACTCCGTCGCAAAACAAAACCAAAGAGGTTTTATGCCTCCGCAAAGGGGATCTAAGAACGCTCTCAGGCTACCTGACCGGCCATGTGCCCCTAAAATACCACCTCTTCCACATTGGACTAGCTGAGGATCAAACTTGTCGACTTTGCAACGATGGGTCAGAAACTGCTGAACATATACTGTGCAATTGCGTCGCCAGAGGCCGTCTAAGGCACAACGTCTTCGGTAAAACTCCCCTGTTACCTACCGACATAAAGGTTCAAGACCTGAGGACAATACTAAGGTTCATTAAGGACCTACATTTGCCCTAAACCTTTGGAGGGCTAAAGTTACAATAGATCTTATAGGTCGCGGTAACGAGAGGGGCCGCCCTCCTCAGCCCGGCAGCAATAATAATAATAATAATAAAGCTCATCATGCTTATCATTTGTTGTATAAGAGTATCTTATACAGTGTGTTTTTACGCCAGTGACTATTATTTGTTCTAAAACGCGGTCGCTTAGTTTTCCTGAAAGCCTGGAAGGTGGATCTTTGTAGGGAGCCCTTTTAGAAATACGAGAAGAACTGCCAGGTGGTGTGCTGCATTCATTTGAATCTACAGAAATCCATTTCCTAGCTACTTCTAGTAGAAATTTTTTGTGCTGTTTTTTATACCACTTTATACTTTTTCGATAGATACTTGCTGTTCGCCAAATACTGATCTGCACGGTCGACTCCTTTCATGTGTTTATTGTATTGTATTATGCACGATGGTTTCACTTTATCATTTATATAATTTTTATTCCGCTTTTCAGTTGATATCATAGACCTTTTATCTTTCCATGTGGGAAGAAGAATGGGTGTTTTCCGTACAAAAGATTCTTGGACTTTTCTATTAGTACCTTTGCCAAGCCACGGTTCTCTCGTATGGTACCACGTACAAGTATTTTCTTTGCTAATAATATACACAACTGTAGAAACGTTGTTGTAGTAATTATCTTGGTTACATGATGCCAATAACCAAAATAGAGCTGCAAGACTGATAATATAGTTTCTTGTAGTTTTTGTCTTCTACCCGAATAAATCTGAAAGTTGCAAATGTACCCAGACTCACTTTCACAAACCATCCTCTGTAAAATACCGTATTTTGTAATCTTTGTTGTATTATATATGTTTTGAAGCTGAGACGTCCTCTCCATGGTATCATAGCTTCATCAAGTGATAATTGTTGTTTCGGTACATATATAGATTGAATTTTTGGAATAAGATAATCCAATAGAGGTCTAATTTTACAAAGTCTGTCTCTACTAGGTGCATTTTGTACATTATCACTGAGATGGAAAAATGTAAGGATTTGTTCCAAAGGGTTCGTTGACCAGTAATCTCTCCAACAAGCTTTTTTAGTTTGTCCCATCAATATCAATAACCCAAGAATCTTCTTCATATCTAGACTTTTTGTAGATCTAGAACTAGAGTTTCTAGTTCTAGATCTTGTGTTAGTTCTAGTACAAAACTAGAACTAAGACTAGATCGAAAGCTAGAAATATTCGGATTTAGCCCCATGTCTCTCAAGACGGCTATACCTGAATGATTCTAGTTCTATGTCTTGTGTTAGTTCAATTGATGGTGTTAGTGTAAAACTAGAACTAGAAAGTATCGGGTTTAGCCGTGCGTTTTTAGACAGTGCGTCTTAAGTGACATGATGATTCTTGAATTATGCCAATGATTTAATTTCAGCTGATTATTAAGTAATTCTTTTTTAGGAATTCCCGCTGTTTCAATTCCCATAAAACTATCGAAAAATAATTTACCAATTAGTTTACAATTAATGGGTAGAAATCTAAGTGAACCTATGCTGCTAGCAGTTGCTAAGTTTATTGAACACATTGTACAATTTTCTCATTATACGAAATATATTAAAATTTAAATATTTGAATTTTATTATTTACCGCCATTTCATGACATTCCTAAAATTCTAACCTCAATCCTTACAAAACATTTCCAACGTAAAAACATTTATTAAAAATGTTCGTAGACTCCTTCTTATTCACCACAATACTACTTTTAAGCGTTCTAAATGCTATTATTCCAGATTTATCAGCGAAATATATTAATCCATTGGTAAGTAATTTTTCAATAAATATTTTCTAACCTCAAAATTTTTATTTAAGATTTTGAAATACCTGAATAGTTTAACGCCGAAACAACGTGAATTACTCGAAGAAATACGTCAATTAAAACTGGAACAATCAAAACTACAAATAGTAAATGATTTCGTAAAACACACAAAGATCCAAAGAAGAATCAACATGCTCAATATGCAATATTCCGAACTTCAAACTTCTAGTAGCACTCGAAATATGATCGTTAAAGTGGGATTACCGTATTTGTTTCGGTTTTTAATGGGAGTGGCAATCTTGTGCTTTATTATTATGTATCGAAACAATCCTGTGATGATTTTGAATGAAAGCATTAATTTTACGCCTTTTGGAAGGATCATTTCTTATCCTAATACAGAGATAAATGCTGTGTCCGTTCATTTTTGGGTTATGTGTTGTAGTACTGTTATTAAATTAGTTCAATTGAAAGTGTAAAAGACTTATTGTTTTGACGGTATTTTTAATAAAATTAATTTTGAAATTATTGTGGTATTTGTAGGCAACCCAAATAACATCTAGTTTCTAGAAACTTTCTAATTTTAATTATTATTCAGCGTTAGTTTGTTGTACATTTTTATTGTAAAACATTTTCGACATTTAACCGAAATGTTGAAGTAATCAATTTTAGACTGTTTCAGATTTTTTCCATAATCAACTTATTTGATAACTCTGCTTATGAGGAATCCTTAGGTGGATTGAGTAGCCCATTCCGAATCCCAAGCTCAGATAAAAAAGGAGGGACCTCAGGTAATGCCAGCAACCTGAGTGTATCAAATTGCTCGTAATTATTTCATTACCTCGGATAGGACAGAAAAAATAGTTGACCCGGCACGAAAAAGGACTCGATTTTGGAAACCACTCAGACTAGGCTGCTGTAATGTGACATCCATGAACAATGAGGATCAGGAAGTGCTGCTGGAGGTAAAAAGACATAACATGGATATATGTGCAGTTTCAGAAGCTAAAAAGAAATACATGGGCAACACAAAATACGGCGAGTACATCTTTATTTATAGCGGCAAAGATAAAAATGAAAGAGCAGCATCTGGTATTGGACTACTCTTGCTTTAGAGGTTCTATAATAACATCGACGATATAAAATATCTCTCTGATAGAATACTGCAGGTGACCATCAGAAGTCTAAACTCACGCATCTGGTAAGCGTCCATGCCCTGGATACTAGCAAACCGAAAGATGAAATTCTATCAGAACCTCACTCATACTAGGAGACCTTAATGCCAGAATTGGAAACACTGTAATGCCTGGTGTGAAAAATCGGTTTAATGAAGAAACTAGCAACGAAAGCGGAGAACTAACTCATTTATGCGCAGTTAACGAATTGAGAATTAATAACATATATTTTCCTCAC